TGCGGAATCCGTCGATTCGACGTATATTAAATTTTAGAAACATTATTCAATAAATGTCGCTGTCGATTTTGCGTGATTTTACGTGGATTTTACGTTGCGTGATCCCAATTACGTATTCTACCGCATGTTACTTTGACATATTCTAGGAACATAGAATAGTGGGTTTCAGTGAATTTCGGACTGCATTGGCACTTTTGATCCGGTCAGAATGTCAATAATAAGTCTCCCAAAGGTTTGTATTCGAGCCAAAAGTGGTCGCTTTGAAGAATTTCTATGAAGACATTTGAGCAACTGGTCCAATATAATGCTGACTGTAACTCGGAAACAAAGTCAGATAAAATAAATGTTTACACGAATTGCGTTTCACTATTTTCGTACGCTGAATTCATCACTTAAATTACTCCCTCTTAATATAGTACACCCTGTATAGGGGAGGCTTTAATTAATAAATGAATTCTATTCTGACTATAATTATGAAATTGATATTACTGTAATCAAAGTACCGTTTAGTGCTTTTATTAAAAAACTTGATTTAATTAGGGGTTTACTATTATATAATAAAACAACTCATTTCCACGACATTAATTAAGCTTTTTAATTTCATTAGAGTGTCTGATAATATATTATATTATTAATATATATTACATACACTATATTAATACAATATAGTATATAATATATATAATCATATATCACAATTGTTAATCGTGCATTGAAGTATAATAAAATAAGCTTCAGTGAAATAAAATCAAACTGTCTGTACCTAGGTATCACCACCAATAACTACAAATTAAATGCTTTACAAAATCATTTATTTAACGGAGAATCTTAAAAAAACAAAGTATCTATTACAACACAACTCTTGTATATTTTATAATATGCAGAATGGAACTGAGAATGCCATCTGTGGACTCGACTGATAAAACTTACTTACAGAGGTTAAGGCAAAAACCAAGTGTGTTTTCCCTGCAATAACGCTTGCTAGCCACGTACTGCTACGGGACAACCCGCCCGTGCGGCCAGCGCCTCCGTATCCAAAATGGCAGCGTTAGGGGAGTTTTTCCTACGCGACATTAGAAGGAATCCCTTAACTTCACTTCCGAGTTCCTGCCGTGAAGGCCTACTCCAGAAGACCCCCATGGGCGCGGAATTGAGATTAGGCTTAATCAGCGGAGGACAAAGCCTTACGAGCGTAGCCTCTTGGGAATGACGAGTCCCGTGGAGGTAGCCTTTTGGTAGCGCTGAGCTCATTTGCCAAAACTCTGGTCTGGTCCAGAAGCAGGCGGGACGCCGCTTACGTACCGAGACCCTCGAAAGGTCTCTAGCCCAGCATGCGGGCTTTTAATCATCATCGTTACGAAGTCAATATCAAATATTCGGGCCGGCACAGGTTAGTGGGTACCCGGTACCCCGTAGTACCAATTATCGCAGGTCTATTGGTGGGACCTGTTTTATTTCTTACATACATGAATAAGCAATACCTTCCATATTTCGTCCATACCAGGGCTTGGTTGGTCCAACTTGGATGTTCTGGGATTGCTAATTCCTATACCATAATTGCCATGTGGCCCCTGGAGGGCCTCCTACACATCAAAACGGGTCCGAACAGGAAGACTCCACTCTGCTATACATAAACGCAAACATTTCCGAGATATGACTCCTAGAGTCTTAACTGCTGCAGCCGAGATTACCATCTGAAGATGGTACGATATGAATCTAACCGATTCGTACAGGTCACGTCAAGTATGTCGAGCATAGTTGTTTGTTAATAAAACACGTTAAAGAACACGCTTACAAGTTTAGTAACTCCTAACCGTTACAAATCCATTGAAAAGAGAAACAGATCTCCATGACGATATTTGTAAAACAAATTAATTCGTTCTCATTACGTTACGAGCTTTTGTAACCTAAAGACGTCGTGTGTACCTATTGTCTTAGTTTAACAGTAAAACTACCAGACGAGTAAAAATGACCCATTCCTGATTTCCCTTTTTGCAATTATTAAAAAGATAACAGATATCTCTCAGAGAAATCATTAAAGAGATTGATTGAGCAATAAAGAACATGCACTTTAGGAGTTTCTATAAAGGAATTTCGAAAATCAATTGAACTACTCGGTTCAGTATTATATTAAAATTGATTTATTATTATATTATAAAACTAGCATACAATATAACGCAATATTGCTTTTAATTAAAGGCAAACTATATTGCCTTTAATTTCATGGAAAATCGTGAAGTTGCATTAGAATCTACTGTTTCCTGATCACGGATCTCCATTGTATTAAAATTCGCGCGTGGTAGTGCTTTTAACGAAAGTTTATTAGCATCTAGAAAAAAAGAAGGGGAACCAGAACAAGCTTGAAGTATCCGTTTTAATTAAATTCCACGCACGTTCAAATACAACGTTGCTTGAGTTCCGTCTGACACCAAAAATATCGATATATCGAGGCGACATATCGCGCGCAATTCCTCTTTTCCGTCACAACTATGTACCCCGAACGGCGTTTCTACATGCAACACATAATATGTAACATGTAACGTCTTCGGTGGATTGTAAATGCCCCTCGGAAGCTCCACGTCTCAAGACGTAAATTTAGTGGCAGCTTTAACGTGTTATACATATATCGCCAGACGAATTTAGCAAATATTTATGCAAACATAAAGTTGCATCCTCTGTACAATGTATTAGATGCGCTGCTTCAGATTTAGCACTTGTGATTTATTAGGTTGAACACCTTTTCGTATGTTCATCGAAGTGAATGAATTCTTTACGATTATATTTTAATACGTTAATAGTATAAAATAAAATCTTATTTTATATTCTCTATAAAACACTTATTTTATGTTCTCAATATTATTCAAACTATTACATGATTAATTCTTCGTGTTTTTAAATGTTCTTTTATACGAATTTTTATTATTTTACACCAAAAACTAGTGATTCTTATTATTTCCAGTGCTTCCTGAAATAAGAAATACTGTCTTCGTACTTGATCTATTTATTAGTTTTCTATATACATTGAATTCATTAAGATGAGTTTCATATGAAATTATTAAACTTTGTTTATATTTCACGTAATTGATTCTTTAATATATACAATAATGATGCTGTATTTTTGGAGATATTCGAATGCTTCAAAAATTATCACCGTAGTTTATTTATGGAACAATTTTCTGAAAATAGGAAGTCAGATATTCGAAGATAGAAAGAGACAATTTTTCAAATTATTTTTCTACAGCCTCTACCATACATATGTACTGTTCAGTTTTAAATTCTATTATTCTCAATAAAATCGTGCATTAACAATTAATATCTACCCCTGTGTATTTTCACTGTTCAAGTAGAATATTATTAAAGTAACAACCTCTTTACTGCATTTATAGTACAGTTATATACTTTTCAATGGCGGGAACCGACTAATGAATTTCTTTTGTTGGTTTTAACCAAAGCCAAATGTTTCCAAATGTTTTCAGAAGAAACTACAACAGCTATCGTTTAACTACTGGCCGGGAACGCGCTGTTGAGTTTATTTAATTGCGAGAACAACGCGAGTGTAATCAATTTCGTGCAAATTGATTTCAATTTCAATTGCGCACGTCAGTGTTAAATATAGTGGGTTAAGTGGAATGTATTTAAAACGCTGATCCTCGCTTCAAAACGATTCGCGTACCATTTAAGCATCGTCAGACATATTTGCGTTAACGCTTTTGAGATTACTCGCCTGATGTCTTTTTTTGGCTGCGCCACCTAACGCTTCCCGAAAGTAACAAGCGGACTACAGACCTCAATGAAAATTCAAAATTTTAAGAATATAATTAGAAAAATGAATTTGATGTATATAATAATTATTTTAAACAAATATTATCAAATATACCGCATTTTGGATATATTATATATTTTTTCCCATCGTGTAATTAAAAGAAGAATAAAATGAATTGTTGCATGCAATTTTATAGTTAATTATCAAATGCACTATTTGAATAATGCTTAAAAATATAAAATTTCTATTTTATTAATAAATAAATAAGAAGAATATATATAATATAATGTATACTTGCGAGCTTAAAAAATACAAACCTAAACATTTCTTCCATAGTGAAACGTTAAAAAGTTGTAAGTTATTTCTTTATTTACATGTAGTTATTAATATCTGCTGGTTTCAGATTTTTAAATTTTCTTTTGTTCGCAAGAAGAAATTGCCGCTGGACAGAATAGTTAAGAATAGAACGCTAAACACATTTAGTTCATAAAATTAGAACCACCGAGTCATCATATCAACCGATTTCTACTATCTTACACAAACTGCAATAGTACATTCAATAAAGGTTCGATTTACTCATATTTCGGAATGCACGTTAATCAAATAAATTTATTTAATAATTTCTCCGAAAATCCCAGCTACATTTTTTCAATAAAACAATTGTAAACGAAGAAAACTGAAACGAGTATTCCTATGTCGTAATTTGAATATCAACGTGTAATAGTCAAAAACCAATAACAGCTTCACTATGTAGAAATACAAACAATTTTATTTCTACTTCTATTTATTATATTCACTTTGATCTGTGATTTTCTGTGTTGTTACATTATAAAAGTTCTATCAGTATGTTCTCTTTAATTTAGACAATATTCTGTGATTTTGTAACTGAAGTGAATATTATTGAAAAATTTTACCGTTAACACGTTAAGCGCCATATCAGTTACTGCTGACTGACGCTTCCGAATGACTAAACAGTCGTAACGTACAAGATAGCCGTTGTGAAATAAAAATATTTAATAACATAACTAAGTTGATAGTAGTGTAATGCAAACATTGTAATGCTAAATAATTAATAATTGTTCCTGCTTTTCTTTGATAAAAAAAACTCTACGGGAAAACGCTTAAGATTTTCGTGACGCTTAACGTGTTAAGTGTTAAAACACCTTTAAAACACATAAAATTAAATCATATTGAGTGCATTGAAGAGAAAGAACTGTGGTGTAACCCATTGACTTACCGAAACTCTTGGTTTGTATCCTTTTATACATCTCCACGCTACTTTTCCGATGAATCATCCGATGTGTCGCCGCCTGGTACTTCTTCCAAAAGTTTCTTTCGCTTTCCGTCGATTCCTGGGAGCTCCTCCTTTCTTTAACGATACTTTCCGGGACTTCGTCGTCGTCGTCCCTGCTGTCTGGCTTTCTCCACACATGGCTCTCCTCGAGGTCGCCGATGTAAATCCATTCACTGCTTGTGTACGGCTCCACGTAGCTGTCCTCGTCTTCTCGGCCTGTTATTTTTAATGCAGAAACAGGATGCGGTGCGTGAAATGTTTAGAAGAAATTTTCTCCTAAATCTGACAGCCGGATGAAACATAAAAGATTTAATGTGAACGTATTTAGAGAACCACGTTGTCCTTAATTAGATCATCGATTGTTTCCACTAATGGATGAAGTGTTTCTGTTTGTCTAAGTTAATCGTAATAGTTGATGATTTTTTAATTTATTGTAATATGATTTTGGTCTCTTTAATTAATTTTGATAATTTTCGATTTCTTAACTTCATTCTGATAAGGTTTTTAATTGTCCCTTAACTTAATCATACAGTTTTTTGATCTCTCAACTTAACTTCTTAACATCAATTGTTAAATCTGCCACGTTTTTCAGGTTTTCCCTGACCCAATATTTAATTTTATCGTCTTCCAATTTTTTCGAAAGTATTTTAGAATTTGAAAAGTGAAGAAAAATCGTTACTAACATATTTATGTGTTTCCAAATTTATTATTAGATAATTTCTCCATCCAAACAAATTTGTGTGCGAAACCAAAATTTCCCGAAGCATTTTAAATAACCGAAAGTTCAGCGAAAACCGATTTCTTCTTCCAAGAATCCTAATAAATTAAGAATTAGGTAACTGCTTTCATAAATTCATTTGAAAAATACATTGGAATGCCATGTATATTCATTCAGTTTCACTCACTTCGACAAACCCTTCGAACAACCTAATACATACATTACATTAACAATTATCTTCCTGCAAGAATCGATACGAAACGTTTCCCTTCATTTTTCTTCGCAATTCAATTTACACCTACTTTTCACAGCCATTTCCCACACTTTTATATCTTTATCGGATCACATTAACCAAACAAATTTCACAGACAAATATCACGAACTGAGGGTCCAATTAAAATCACGATTCCATTGCAGTTTCTTGCGCGGGGCATCGTCGGCAATGTAACAGCGACTGAAAACAAGAAATCTTCATAAAAGAAGATGAAGAGCAACAGAACCGCGAGTAAAACTTTTCTAAGCGACAGCGGTGGCTGCTCTCAATTTTTCAATCGTACCTTGTTACGCAACTTTTTACAAGAGCGACGGTTGCCCACCTTTATTATACTCGTCCCGCAATACTTCGTACATCCATTTCACCGTATAACGCGCTGCCCGCTAGATACGAAAGCAGTTAATGAAGTTTATGCGGTGGAACTTCTTAAACGGGCTTTTTATGGCGCACGGCCTACGAGTCCTTATTAGAATGTGTTTTATGGAAGTCGCGGGAAACGGCGGAAGTATTTCCGCGCGAAACTTTCCGGACAAAGATCTCGCAAGTAAATTCTCGCGGAAAGTTTGTCCCTGTTACCGCGGCGACTAACGCGAATCGACACATCTTGCGGGATTATATTAGTGAAACTTTCTTCCGTCATAATTACGAATATAAAGCTATTAGATTGTCTGAAACTAAGTTATGATTTTCTAATGCTATAATTTTTGGAGTTGCCTTTATAACGCAGCGTTATATATTATTATTGTTTTATTTACGTTACGTGTACGTTTACATGGTTTTAATTGAAGCGATTTTATTTAGTGGAAATAAATATAGTTTACAATGGGAATTGATAAAATTTGTGTGTCACTAATGAAATGGAAATCTGAGTCTTTGGAATCAATGGACTTCGTGAAATTATTGTCTTTAAATATTTCTAATATTTGGAATTTATAAAATCTTACTGAATGAATTATAACAATTCTTCGTGATACTGTTTCGAGAAAGAGTTTACAATACACAGTATTTGTTAAATAATAATCTGTATAAATTTTTAAAACGATATTTAGAAATAATATTCTATTCGAAGTATAATGGAAATGTTTCTAATTACTTTTTATAATATTTTTATTTAGCTTCGCCAGAGAATTTCTGCGTCCACGAAGAAATAGTTAAAACGATGAAAACGGTTAGGGAAGTAAACAGTACGAACAATTGTATTAAAATAGAAGTAAATTTTCTTTTTCAAATATTAAAGTTTCTCACTTTTTCCCTTAATTTTTCGTCAACGGGTATTTTAAATATGCATTTGAAATTATATATTAAAATATTTCACTTTATTCTTCATCCCAGTAAAACGTAAAATGAGTATTTTTTTAAAATTACAAGTAACACATGAATATTTTACTTGCTAAAACTTCGTTTCCCCTTTTAAAATATTATTTTACTTTAACAGCTTGACATCTAATATTTTAAATAATATTTGAAGAACATTTTCCCTCTAAATTTTACCCGACCCTGCGGGAAAGCTGTACTTGATATAGCAACTTATCTGGCCACGAGCATTTTTAATGGAGGATTCTATTTTATCTCCTCAAGGGAGCAACGCTGCGCTGTGGGGAATCAAGCGTTCTTTGCCATTGAGGGTCGCTGGCGGTACCTTGTGCATCGCAGAACTATTTTATTTTCTCAATTTAAAATGAGATGACATCAAATAAAATAAAAGAGAATCGGTATTATGGCATTCTTAGATAGCTTCTGTTCTATTACGTAAAGCAGTTAGATATTGAAAAGGGGTCTGTTCTATCACGTAAAGCAGTTAGATATTGTTTTCGATTTCTAGTTTTTAAAATAAAATTAAATATATTCGATGAAATTCCAAACTTTATTAACATCTTGCTCAATTTCAAATTTGTTTCAACATGTCTACACGTTTATAATGTTACAAAAAAATATATATTATTTTATTTTACAGAATCCAGAAAACTATTTTCATAAACGTTCATATAACTTTCATAATTAATAGCAAGTTTTCAAATATAAAAATTCAATTTTTTCCTCTAGAATTAATTTCTTCAAACATTAAGGGTAGCTTTTTCGCAAAATTCCTTAATTTATCTATATATGCGACATATTACAGAAAAAGTAGAAACACAGTTTAGTAACAATTTTATTGTACTATCCTAAAATTCAAAAGTAATAAATAGAAGAATTAAATAGAAGATCGATATGAATCGATCACACTATTCAGAACTTTTTACGTGAAAATAGGAAAGCGTAATTCAATTTCTAAGATGAAACGAAAGAAGCGTAATCGCGTTGCTTGGCAATTTATAACTAAATGTTCCCAGAAGACGCGTCTCACTCAAAAGGTTAAGAAGGTAAATAGTTTTATAAAGCACAATTGTGGAAGAAACCATAATACAAATGGGTTAGTATTTTTAAATCGTAGGACAAAGTTAACCCATTATTTCTAAAGACTGACCTGTAAGGATTTCCAAACTGACATCCGTGCTCCTCGCGTGAAGCCTCTTTCTACCCATAGCGCTTTCATCGATAGACCCCCTGCTTCCGTGTCTGGTTGCAGCCCTTTCCTCGGATTTCGCTCTGACGTCCGATCGACCGGCGCTGCTGCGTCGATGCCTCCTGTCGCCACGGTCCTCGGATCGGTACCTCTTGTCGAACTTCTTGTAGAGTCTATGCCCGGACACGTATTTCGGCGTCGCCCTGTGCCCTTCCGGAGAGTCCGCGAAACCTGCCGGCGGTCGAACGATCTCTTCCGAGACCTCGGGGTGGAGCAACATGACGGCACGCACGATAGAGAAAAGAGGTAGATAGACCGATAGATAGAGAGACAGATCGATTTCAACCACAGGCTTTTTTTGTTTGCTTTGTTTCCTTGAAAATCGACTAATGCTTTAACGCCTCGGTACACGTTGAAACCTGCGGCGATGCAGGCTTCGCTACAAGCGATGGGTTTGAGTCTTCCAATGTTTCAGGATACATGTTGCACTCAAGCAAAAAGTGAGAACTGCTCAAACCCATCGTTACAAGTGCTACAGCTCCTTATCAGACAGAAGATGTACGTAGGTTGGCAAACCATGGAAATAGGAAGAGAAGAAGAAATTCAAGGCTGAAGCAACTAACTACACTATAAACTATGTCATCTATTACTTCGACACACTACAAGACTTTCAACCAATCAATTTTATATATTGATCAAATTTCGTTCGACTCATTTACAAGATTACTATCAACTCCGTGTCAAATACTTTGCTACCTATGTTCACTTGATTTCAAAGTTCCAAGCATTTACGTAGTTCTTCCCTTCGAGCGAGAGAATCGAGTTTAATGATAAACAATGTACCTCTCTGCCGCAGTGGTGACACTGGGGGGTGACTTGTGTGCTGACAGCGAGGCATTGGTCCGCGCTCTCGTTGTAAAAGACACTGTCGCTGCCAGGACTGACAGACCTCAAAGACTCGGCTGAAAGAGCCTTTAATCTAGTTTCAGCGCTGTGCGATTCGACAATCATGGTTCGTTGCCCGTTGTGCCCTGGACTGTGTTGATAACGGCCTGGACTCAGCCTCGAACACATTATATCGTCCGCCGCGCGTGATCTTCTTCGCGGCAAGCTGCCTGTTATGGCTGCGTCCTTGTCCTAAATGGAATCAAGATAAACTGTCCTCGTGTCGTGCCACAGGTGTCTTTATAATACAAATGAGTCGCTCAGAAGCTAATGCTATTAAGTCCCGTGAACAAAAATTGAGAAAATCAATGTTTGTTTATTCCATTAGAATTGACAAAAATCAGGAAATATCAAAAAATGGTTTTAATCGAATTTGCCTCTGAGGGACTCAAATGTCTATGGCGGTGTTAGATAATTCAGATCAAAGGCAATTGGGTTTTGAGTATTTATAGTAAATTCGAAAGAGCTGGATTATTTTTAACCCTTTGCACTTGTATGTCATGCTGGGGATGATAATACAAATTTGTTATACTTTATTTGTGGCACTTTAAAAAGTACCAAACTTTAAAAGATTATAAAAATTAAATCTTATTGTAATAATAATAATTGAAATAATTATAAAACGTTGAATTCTACCGCTATAAATTACTTTAATTCATCTCCCGAAAAATAAATACAAGTTTACACCCAACAACATTGTTAATGAAATTAAAAAGTTGAAGAAATCATGAAATTAAATCAAATACAAAGGGTTAACAGGTTAAATGTCAGTCATCGATGACTGACGCTTCCGAATTGCTTGAAAAAAATTGCAATACGCAAGATGACTGTTGTCGACTAAAAAGTTTGCTACGGACGAACAAATCATGTGTAAAACATTCGAGATTCTCGTGGCACTTAACGTGTTAACACCTTGCACTCGATTTATTTTAACTATTGTTCGATGTAAACTTGTATTTATTAAAAAAAAATGAATTTCAGTAATTCACAGCAGTAGAATTCATATTTTTATATTTACTTTATTTATTACTATTATAATAAGATTCAATATTTATACTCTTTTAAAGTGTGGTACTTTTTCAAACAGTTTCCAACGTTCTACAGTAAATTTATATTGTCATCTCCAGCAAAACATACGAGTGCAAAGGCTTAAAATCTGCATAAAATTCAAATATATAGTACAAAATGATTGTACATTTTACCATTTCTGTAGATCAACGTTCGCTCACCTCGTTGCTTCTTCTTCTAGCGGAAATATATCCGCCAGTCTTCTTCCTTGGGCTCTCCCTGGTTCTCCTGTGTCTGGCACCGTCACCAGTTTCCCGATGCAGATGATGATGATGGTGATGGTGCATATGGTAATGATGGCTGCAGCTGGAATCGTCCGACGTCTGGACGTGTCCCGCGTCATCGGTCGCTTCCACTCGCCAGTCCTCTTTCTGGGGGCTTCTGGGGAGTTGCTGTTGCGGTTGCTGTTGCGTTTGACTTGGCTGAACGGTCTCGCGCTTCCTGTTGTTCCGGTGCGGGCTTTTGGCGCTCGCGGACTTTGCCTTTGGTCTGTGCCGATGGCTCGGCGTCGGGCTGACTTCGGCCTCGTCCGTATAAAGCTCTGTGCCGCGTTCGGTCTCCGCGGCGCTCCCCAGAAACTCGAGGCTGAAGTTCTTCCGTCGCCTGCGACGTTCCTCTTCGCTCCAAGTGCGCAAATCTGGCGGAGACTCGGCGTACCCGCCGGAGGAGGAATGGTGAGCTTCCTGGAAAGAATGGTAAAACGATGAAAGAATACCTTTAACCCCTTGCAATATGATTTCTTTCTGAACTGTGATCGATCTAACTACTTTGCTATTAATGATTTACTGAAACTAAGTGAAAATTCCAGTTTTATTCTATGTCAACGTGTGCTCTAAGGTATAATCACTGAGAACAGAGGAATAATATGCAATTTACTTTCAAACAAATTGAATAATATTTATGTTTGTTAAATTTAGTTTGAAATCTTCACCACAAGTCTGACACGATACTGTAGGTCAAGGGGTTGACACTAAACCAGACGTGTCAAAATGACCCATTCCTTATTTCTCCATTTTGTAATTAGTAAAAGACAACAGATATTTTTCTGAGAAATTATTAAAGGAATTGATTCAGCAATACGTGAACTGAATTATAAACCAATTAAAGTCTCAATGGATGCACTCATGAAGTTTCTATAGAGGAATTTCGAAAAGTCAGTTTAACTGCTCGGTAGTTTTAGTGTTAATAATAAACGTACGGTGACCGGTCAAATGACCAGTTTCAAAATTTGATTCAAAATTTTGTATTTTCTTTCGTCCATTTAATTTTCTATCGATTTTTATACTGTGCGATTAATTAGTTTATCATATCTTGTCTTTCGTTTTATTTAAGTTTCTACTAAAAAAGTTGCTCGTCTAATTTGTTTAGCTTTATTTTATAACTAACTATTTAGCTGGTTAGTCGTACGTTTATTATTAAAAAGAATAAATGTTCATTATATTTCGCTTGTGAAACATAGTTCCCAAGAAAATGTTTGACGCGTATTTTTTCTTATCGACCGACATCCACTTTGAAGGGGTGAAAACACCCCTCAAGGTTTAGGGTTGAAAATATATTTTTTACAATATCTCTAAAACTGGAGGTGTAGGAAAGAACTTTATTTTTAAATTGTTCGCCTGAAAATCAGAAATTTAGATTTCTTTGCTATAATTCATTATAAGGTATGAAGTTAATCCTTGCAATAAATGCAAGTACAAATACAAATTAAAATTACTAATACCTGAAATACTACAAGAGTCGAAGTAGAAAATTGCAGATTTCATAAGTTATATAAACACTTCTACATTCAATTATTAAATAAGTTAATACATTCATGCATACTAGATAGGTTAATATATCTATAAATGTAATACGATTTTAATATGCATTTGAATGCTGAATCATTTATGTATTTATTCATTCATCAGAGAATTCTTAAATTTCACGATGTCATATCTCATTTAGCGTGAATGATATCAGATGTTTAATACATGGGTGATTCAAAAGATCAGTTAATGAATGAGTAAGTGTGTTTTTTATAGAAATATCCTATTAAATTACTCAACACAGTCTTTTTTACAAGTTACAAACTTGGTTTAGCAATGTTCCCACTCCCTCGTTACATCAGAGGCATTTCTTTCATCGAATTTTGCAAATTAGTTAACAGTGGTAACATATTCTAATTTAACGGAAATGTCCTCCTATCGAACCAGACTTTAATTTCGGACGCAGGAAAAAGATCGGAGAATATGGTGGATGAGAAACCAATTCGCACTCCAATCCGTGAAATATTGCTATTGAAATGGCGCGCTAATTCAGTTTATTCGGAAGTGGTTCATTCAGATAGCTGTTGAACGTTAACTATATGTAGTACCTATCTGGTTGAAATCTTGACAGAGATCACGCGATAAACGATGCTTTCCGACAGGAATGTTATTTTATGTACTCTTGTGCCGTCTCATGAATATTTATAAAATGTTTCAAACCACTCTCCGTTTTATAGTCTTCATTACTTCAATCCGTTTTTATTAATACTTAATCAAGCCTACTTAGACAATGCCGATCGAAAAATCACTCTATTAACAGAGTAACTTGAATTAACCTTAAAAGGGGTTCTTCATTCGTTAAACATTTTAAAGAAGAAAAAAAGGAGAAAAATTCGCTACAAGCTTCCATTTTAGTGTTATCCTGGATCTAGTGAAACTATAAATGTAAAAATAAAACTATTTCCCCTTACAATTAGATCGTTTGATAATTACAATTCATTAACAAAAGCGTTTAGTTGCATAGAAATCTGCAAGCAATAGAAACGAATTAATTTATCGTGTTCAGTGCGTTTAAAAATAATCTCGTTGCATATTTTTCAACGTTTTAGAATAAATGACGATTCAATAAATTGCGATAAATAAAAGTTCAATTTCCCATATTTTCTACAATGCATTGTAACTGCAATAACACGTTCAGCGAGGCGAATCGATCATTTTATTGAACATTTTATAGCGAGCAATATAGAAACTGATATCGCGTGCAATATAACAACATACTCACGGGTTATAAAATTGTTGTTTCTCCGTGCCAGTTGAAATGACTGGTCCGAATTTTCTTACTCTTCAATTATAGGTATTTTAAAAATATTAAATATCCTAAGTAATTTGGAAAACACATAATCTCACACGAATACTATAACGAATCTCTAAAGAAACCGAGATAAATCTATTGTTACTATTTTCATAAGGATTACATGTAAACCGTATTAATTGCTCGGTACTAATATTAATAACGTCTCGAGGATAACAGACGGAATTACTAGCACAGATTCTATTCGAAATGTCGGAAGGTGTTCGAGCAGGATATTCCATGTAACTAACGGCATTCGTGTAATCAGTGACAGATTATGCTATTCGACGGATGAAATGAGCAAGGAAGATTCGATCGGAAACGTGATTGAAATTAGTTTAATTATCGCCTTACGTCACCGTCCTGTTCCGCCTCTGAGGTGTGTCCGCTCAGAGGCGCAGTCTGCTCGAGTTCGTGACCCGGATCTGTCATTGCATCTTTCAGGTCGTAACTGCCCGAGCTGCTGCTGCTGCTGGACCTCGCCGGTGACGCAGGCACATCCAATCCAAACGGAATTTCCGTCTCCTCGAGGATCGGCGGCGGGCTGCATGGTTCTTCAACGACAGCCTGACGAGCAACGCCAAAAGAATTTCATTTTCCACCGACCGCGAAAATTTTTCGCTTCGATCGCTGCGCCAAGTGAATTACATTCGAAACCGGAACCCAAAATATCTCTGTTGTCTTTTACGACACGAGAACGTTTCCGTTGAAAATATTCAATTTCAAGTTTCTTTTCGAGGAATAAATATTGTGATAAAAGAATTTTATTTTTTTTCCTCGGGTAATAGTTTTCGTTTCAAGGTTATCTATGCTTAGGGATGATGCGGTTTTATTGGGTGTAAAGATACTTTGGATTTCGGGTTGGTAGTTGTTAGATATTTTAACTGTTTGTTTAATGTAAAGGAGTATTGAAGATACCTTCGGAATTTTTATTTCAGTTTTAAGAGATTTTTATGTTAACTACTTTCAGGTGAACGTTTGTAAAATTACTATCGTTTTTGGTTTCTCACGTCATCAGTTTTAATTAGAAAAAGATTCGATTGTTGATTTAGAAATTTTAACGATTATTGTATTTATTTTAGGATGTACATCTTAATATTTAGTTTATTTAATTATTTACGAATATATGATACACATTTATGTAGATATGTATAAGATGAGTTATAAGAATATTTAAATTAGTTTCGTTATTTATGGTTGCATAAAAATCTTCTCAAAATAGGACTACACTGTTTCATGAGACAAATGCAACGAAATCATTCTCCACAAGAATATTTCTTTTTAATCACATACTAGGTTCACTTTTAAATAAATTGTGAATCCATGCTACTTTTAAAACATGTGCAAACTTACTTTGAAAAACTACTTATTATCTCTACTTAATATTGCGCACGTTCCTTTTACCGAGAGTAATCACTAATTTTATGTCAAGTTTATACCTGCCCTGTACTTTTTACGAAGCGTTATTCGTTTATGCGGTAGAACTTCGTAAAGATCGTTCATTGTATTAAAACAGATGATGGTCCGAGATAAAGTTCAACGAAGCTGAATATTAATATTTGAAAACTTATATCAAACTCGAAAGTAATTTTCGTAACACGAAATTTAAAATTCTAATTTCAGTAAATTATTCGTGAGCCAATAATATGAGACATCTTCTAGAAAGATTAACAAAATACCTTTCCTCCACAAATAAATAATTGATTTACGATATATTTTTCTTGCAACAAATGACATACAATATAATAAAACAACAAATTTTTCTTTAACATTTAACATTTGTGATCAATCATAATATAATAAATATAAAAGGTATAATAATTGCTTGTATTGTGAAAGGTATTTAAAACTTTGATGATCACGCGTTTAATTCGTTCAAAAAATCGCTTATGTATTTAATCGCTATATATATTTATTGGCAGAAACATTGAAACTATCATTCACATATATTTATAACATATTCTTAGTTTTTGTTATAGACAAATTATGTTGCAGATAACCTAACAGAATGAACAACGATTATGAAAAAGTTAAGCAACGCATACATATGCACGTCTCTAAAATTTCATATTTTGTATTGTGTAAAAAACAAATTATAAATCACTCACAGTGCATCATTTAAAAATAAAAATTCGGGATTATGAAAATATAATCATCCCTTTAATCCAAACAAAATACTGAAAATTAGAATGAAGCAGTAATTTCCTTTCACAAAAAGTAAAGGTTTAATGGTACTATAATTATAAAACTGTTATACCTTCTTGTATGGTAATTTTTCGCTGTTACGTTATTCTTCCGTAAAAGAAAGGTAAATAAAATCCGGAACACGGTAAATACAATATTCCCAAATGACTAAGAAAGCAACTCACATCTCAATTATGGAATTTCACGTGCAATGAACTTTTAATGTAGTGCATTAATCGTGTTTTCTATAAAACGCATACTTTGCGCGGTGTAGTTTTTCTGTGCAAGTTTTATGACACCGTATTCGCCGCGGAACGTGCTATTTGTTAATCATGAAAGGACGCACGATAAACGGAACTGTGGCAGGTAAATATTATGCACACGGGAAAATACGAATTTTTCTGTGTAGTTGCCCCGGTTCTTCCGATTTCTTTATTTACACGCGTGCATTTGATATTTAACGAACGGTTTGTATTCACTGGGTAGATGTATGGTCTATAAATATCGTGGATTGTGCACCGTGTATAAATATCAATACTTTGTAAAGCGAAATGTCTATTTCTGTCCCTGTTGCCTTTGAATCAGAAAGTTCCGGTGAAGTTGTGCCGGGACCCAGAGCCAAAGATAGAAGAATTATTGCAATACATTTTCCGTGTTTAATTATTCGATTTGAACGGAGAGAAGAGGCGGCATTGCCGGGGAAATTAGCGTTAAGAATGTAACTCGATTTCTCAAGGACAGGTTGTCCAATAAATTAATGAGTTACTTAATACTGAAATCTCTTAGGAGTTCTGTTTCGTCTCCCTTCTACCATCTTTTGCACCAAAGTTATGTTTCAGTGGAAAAGCTTTAAATATTTTATAAAATCTTGTACATTAGTATATGATATTTAGAAAATTTTATATGTTTTCAGTGGTATATAATTCTTGGTGAAATCAGGTTTATAAAATATCTACTGTGCCCCTAATGAAACGAGAAATGTTTGAGGTGTGATTTTAATGGACTGAATGTAGAACTCGTATGAAAAGAATATATTGTCTGGTGGATACATTCTTCGAATTTTACTAAAATCATTGATTTTTTTTTACTATGGAACATGAGTGGAAAACTGACTGTGACAAGGTTCGAAGTAAATAGCGAAATACGAAACAGGAAAGTCCCATCAAATTTTTAACTTTTCTTTGCATTTTTATTGAATTATTTTGTTGGTTAAAGGATATTATGGATTGTAATTGCAAGAAAGGATATTTTAAATGCAACAGTTTCAAAATATTGATGAATTTTCATTACTAATAATCATTAACATTATTAAAGTCAACAACTCAAAAAATCGACAATTTTATCAATTAAAAAAAATCAATTTGAAAAACTACTATCGATATAGGAATGCTGCTAAAAGTACATATGTTTACACTTACACTCTCATTTTACGAAAAAAAGCAATAACCAAAGATATACAGTAGAAAAATGTTAAAAAAATAATGAAAACCCCCTTCCTTAATCCTTGTGTCAGTAATTAAAAAAATATCTGTATTTATCAAAAACTTCTATTGCTATACTTTTACATACATTCTACATTTTCAAAGCAAAAATCGTCGTAAAGCCGTTGAAAAGGTGGAAATCCAAAGCAATTTTATCAAATTTTCACAAGAACAAAACAAAGTTTCAAAATGAGTACTAGGTTGCCAATATACATAACGGTTAACAACATCGACGTGTAAAAGCTAAAGAAGCGCTCGAAACGGCCGTCGGAGCGTCAAATAAATGAAATTAAAACGAATCCCACCTCAAGTGGTGGTTGCAATCTTCGCTCGTTATGACCCAGTATATAACAGCGACTTCGCTTGCCTAGTTGTTAATATTATCAATAACATGTATTTAAAATACGTATTATGAAAATACAATTGATGTAAATATTTAGCACCCTGTATTTTAGTTCCCTTGAATAATTTCACAAACGGTTACTCGCGTGTTAAAATATTTGTTTTATGGAGTATTTATGCCAAGTTTCAAGTTAATAGAATTACCAAATTATTTTTTCTAATATTTCCATATCGAAATAATCTCCTTTCCAATATTTCTATACAGAAATAATTTTTTCCCAGCATTTCCACATCCAACCAATTGTGTTCCAACGTTTCCATATCCAAATATTATTTTCCCAACACTTCCATATCAAAGGAATCTTTCGCTACATTTCCATACCCAAACAATCTTTTCCCAAAGTTTCCATATCCAAACAATCTTTTCCCAACGTTTCTGTATCCAAATAATTGTTTTCCATAAGTACGCGTAAAAAGGAGCCTCGCATACAAGAAATCCCGCGTAACCATTGTATATAAATGAAAAAATCCAAACGGAGTACGAAGGAGAATGCAAACTCACCTCGCTGCGAGCCAAGCTGTAAATCGAACTGGCACTCTCAAAGGAACTTCCTTCCGCGGCAGTGGCTGTCGCCGAGGCCGAGGCCGCGGCGCTGGACGTCTGCGGGGGCCTCGACCAGGAACTGGTCGTTGCCGAAGTGCCGGTAGTGGTCCCAGTCTCGGTGGAGGTGTTGGCAGTGACGTAGTCTTCGGAGGTCTCGGACAGGTCGGTGTTCGTGCGACCGCCCGAGTCGGTCCTCGCGAGGCTCAAACCGAACTCGCTCGACGATTGCGACTGTGGTTGCGACAACGGCGGACCAGGGCTCGGACGACGAAGTCCGTTCCTCGGTCTGCCATTGCTCGGAGTGGTGGACGATTCGACGCTGAGAAGTAATTGCCTTTAAAAATCGCTTCAAGCTTTAGATAGAGTGTCTCTACCAGGGACCGACTTTTGATGATTTTATTATTCCATATAAATGATTGCACGAGACTCGATGGTTCCAAGGTGATTACTGACACGAGAATATTGAGCCTTTTATAAGATATCGCTTGTTCGACTGTCATTAATTGAGTCGTTTTTTTGACAATGGTACGAGTCGATTTTTCCAACACTGAGATATTTGAGGATTTGCGCTTGAATCGACTGAATATATTGGCAATCGTTAACCGATTCGGGTAACATTTTTGAAACTATATAATTAGTAAATATTATTATACAATGATATTTAATGGAATTGTCAAAGAAAATAAACGTTTTTTTCACATTGAGAGAAAACATTCTTGTGATAATATTTCTGGGTTGAACTTCTTTTGCTTAATTTATGAGGATATCGTACATCGTTGATTGTGCGATTGTAAATATGGGAAGAGGATATCTACATATCAGTTAAATTACCATTAACTAATTTTTTCCCAAAAATGGACTATACCAGTTTCAAAAGAAGCGGTTCAATTATTTTGTATAAGAATTCTTATGTTAGAGTACTATTTTGTTGCTGAAGTTATTAACACTATTTTTACAGCATGTTCGTATGTGCATCGCTATTTTTTTTAAGATGTAATTTAATCAAATTTATTAAATTACTTAATGTAATGTAATGGAAATATGCATGTTAAATTCATTTCATAATTATTCTAGGAACAGTTGAGAAGATTAAGAAAAACTGATTAGAATTAGAAAATAATTTTTAGTTAAAATTTTAATGGATGTTTTCTGACACTTTTGGTAAAGATAGTGTTAAATGTTTCTGGTTTATATTAATTATCTTACATATTAGAATTGTTTTAAAGCAATTTGGAACCATTGGTCAAAAGATGACTACCAAGATAGTCAGTGCGTTAAATCAAATTTACAGAGTAATTTAATAAATTTGTTATGAGGTGATTAAATTAAAATTTTGGAGTGTATCAGTAAACCTGTTGCAAGCTAATAATTAAGAATTCATTGACCATTGACATTCATTGGTTCTAAGATGGTCCTTTCATATAATTATTAAATCTTTACAGCATGTTTCATTAAACCTGTTACAGACGAATATCTAAGAATTCATTAACTAGTCATATTCATTGGTGTCAAGATTGTTTCATTAAAATTTCTTTATATCGTGAAGTGTCTTTTCGTTTCAATGTGACAAGCCATTTTCAAACTTGAACATTCATAATTTGTGTTTTCATTTGGATGTGCGTCGAATGTAGGGCAGTGTTACTAAAATTAGATAATTAATTGCATTAAAATTATCAAGCTTGGGCACCGTGTAAAGTGACCACACGACTAATCACATCGTCCCGCCAAATAATTATCTTTCGATATGCTGTATTCTCTACACCAGAATTTTCGATACTTCTCCAAACAATATTGAAATTAATTTTTAAATTTCATTGCTCAAAGAGCTCTTTTATAATATTTCTCAACTTGTATTTTTACTGTTACTTGAGTTGCTGATAACTGCATTATTTTTAAAATTCATTATGTAAGAGAATCATAATGATTATAACTGAAATACAAATAATTAAGTATAATAGATGTGGACTTATGTTTATAGGTATAGTAGATTAATTGTAAATTAGATAGCCATCTATAATTTATTTCTCCTCGTGTTTGATATTTTATTTTATCTAATAAAATTGTGTTATTATTATAATCATTTATTTTGACGATGCATGACCTGTATGATACATAAAGTATGCGATAATTCGAAAATATTTCAAGTGTTTCAGTGAATACAATTCTTAGACACTAACATACATAACAAAAATTTCAACGAAATATTACAAAACAAAATATAGGATTTTAAGATATTCTAAAATATAGAATTTGAATTTATTAAAACGTGCTTATTTTATTGTATTTTGCAGGTTAGCAGATGATATAAATCACACGAACATTTGCAGCCTAATTGTTATTATCTATCTATTGACCAAAACAATTTCGAATTGTTTATTTTCAAAATGGGACAAATTATAACGCGTCAAATATTAATCCACGAATTAAATATGCCAAATATTAGCCCATTAAACAGATTCACAAATCCAAATATTTGTTTCCATCGAAAATATTTGGACTGATACAGGTGTATGTCACATCTAAATTTAATATATCCATAACAGTCGCGAAACTACGTGACCAAATAAATCTTGACAAACATTTTTTATGAATACTCGATGAATATTTATGTATTTACAGCATATTTGATTGAGCGGAACACAATAAAAGCAGCGTGGCAATAAAGCTTTATGAAAGTTTTATGTTTACATTCGATACTTCCAAACTCTACAAAAAAACAGTTATCTATTATCTTTGACGTAGAGTTCTAAAAATCTTTTCTGATAAACTCGATATTGCATAAACATCTATACAATTTACTAATTATTTACTACAAGTGTCACTGAAATTGATGAAGAATCTTTGGTACTGTGTTCTACTATTTACAGTGTGAATGTTATTCCAGTGAATTCTATTTATTAACAAAATGTGTTTATACCATGTGTTAAAAATAAATTATTTATTTCGATGTCACCCTATAATTGAGTGGTTCAGAATAATAGTAGTCTAACTTGTGTTTCTGAGTTCTCAAGAAAAGGATTTTTCGTGAAATGTTCTTAGATTAATCAAATATTAATATTATAACTACTAACGTCAATTATATTATATACTATTATATACTAATAATCAATATTATCGATAACATTGTAATATTAGTATTCAATTAATCCAAGAAAATTTCCCAAAACTTCTTTTTCTCGAGGACTCAGAAACAGTAGTCAGAAAATTTGAAACAAGACCAATTTAACCAATTTAACAGTTAATTAACACTAGAATAATCGAGTGTTTAACAAATACGTAATCCTTATAAAAATTGTAAGAATAAATTTTTTTCGATTTCTTCATATATCAATTACAGTATTAAAGTGAAACTATTCATTTTTCAAATCATTTCGACCATTTAATCCTTTTAAAATATCAATATTTGCGAAATAAGAATACTGAAACCTTTCATTCTGACAGTAGTACTAGTGTTAACACTAAACCTACCATCATGCCTACCTATTCTAAATAATAGTAATAATAAAATAAATCCTATTATTTAAAAAAGCCAAATTTCTTTACAATTCAGTGTAAATAATAATCAATCTGGTACTGAATTAACAACTAAAAACAACAACTTTCATGAAATAACAATATTAATCAATTCTTTTTATGTGAATTGTAACTACGAAAAGAGAAGTGAATCGCAAGATCAATGAGATTTCCAGTGATATGCATCAATTTGAATAGAAGCGCGTAGTAAATTATTATTTACCTTGGCGTTAACGGCTGGATGGGCATCGTTGTCCCGATACGTATCCTCGGACTCGATGAACGTGATTCCATTGTTTCCTCAACATCGAGCGCCTCGGTGTCCATCGAGGACCGTTGCTGGTGCTGCAGTAGCAGGAGATGTCTCCTCCTCGAAGACGGCGTCAGAAGGGCTAACGAATCAGCCTGGAGAACCGTCGCCTGAGACTCGTTCCAAATTCCATCGCTGTGGTCCCTCGTGATGTCGTTCGTTAGCGAATCACTTGACGCGAACGGGGATGTGATCATACCGGAAATTCCGGATCCAGGACTGAAAACTATCGGGCAAAGTGCTCCTGTTTGTCGTAACAACTTCAACGGTGACGTGTATTCTCCAGGACTCTGTAAAATCCTTCTTGGCGCTGGAACAGCATAAGACACTGATATGAGATTGACATGCAGTTCCTGTGAAATGTTGTATGTTTTTATTATAATGTTACAGACTGTGGACAATTTGGAGAAATTGATATGTGATTGGATTCCAGTGTGTCTGAAATGTACGTTATTATTATATCATTAGCAGACCGTGGAAAATGTTTACATTTAATATTGGAATTAATAATAATAAATGTGTTAAAATCACCTACTTTATTTTCTTTCGTTTTCAATTATATGTTGGAAAAATAGAGATGATTTTATGAAAAGTTATTAAATTAATTAATAGAGGAGTGTATAAACTAAAATACAAGTCGATCGAAATTTCAGTAAACTAATATTTGTATACGAAAATTACGAACGTTTGGTTTGCCTGCTCTCTAATTTTGATATTAACGCTACACAAATTTTTTAAAAATAACAAATTGGAAGTATGAAATAGTGTTTCGCTTTATTTTCAATTTACTGAAACCCTCCACAAGGAAAATGGAATTTTATATGATATAATTTTTTTCTAATGTTTCTTTAAAAACGTGAATTTCTATGAAGATTCGCAGTATACTTATTAGTATTTACTTAGCGTTATGGGATTCCAACGAAAGAGGTAATGAATGAATAATAATTACATTATCTTATGTAGAAATAATATACTATTATCTCCAAGAAAAGGGATTTTCATTTCATTTTCATTTACTTCGTGATAATTAAACTGAAGATAAAGGATAATAGTAATATAAATAAACCTAAAGGTAAACATAAATACGATTTTTCTTTGAAAACAAAAACGAAGCCCGTTATACAAAATATTTTCTCGAATAGATAATACAAAATACATTTTTTCGCAATAACTCAATGGAAGCACGAAAACTAAAAAATAATTTTTAAACAATATTTTCAAAATCGAACAAGAAGCTTTGTCTTACAATATTTCCCAAGAATTCAACATTTTTGATAAATAGTTCGTTTTGATAAATAATATTGCAACGACAACTATAAATTCAAATAAAACCCA